ATGAAGAGTTATTGTTGTGTACACAGTCTTTTTTTGCAGAAGAAAAAAAATGCTTTTCATTGTTTTTACACTGTGTGAGCATTTGTGACTTCAAAACAAACAGAATGAAGTCAGAAGCACCTTCTCCTACCTGTCGATACAGAATGTAAATCAAATGTAAATGTAATTCTTTATGGATCTGTGAGTAATTACATGTAAATAACAATGCAAAGTAAATCGAATGTGTGGCGAAACAACAGTAAGTCCAGGCCTCTAAGGGTTAATATTCCCCTGATAGTCCATTCACGCCAGTGCGCTGCATTTAACAGCATCGATTGAACTGCAGTTCAGCAGAGTCAACATCCACCATTCACCCGTTCTATAGCACCGTCGTTCTTCTTTCATTCCCATTACTTCTCAGCATTTACTCCCTCCTTTCTCCCTTCTCTCCCACTCTCTCTCTTCCTCCTCTAGCTTACACTGACAAAAATCAGGGCGCCAAGAAGGGTTCTTTGAATGATGTTATAGAAGAAACACTTTGGGTTCTCTAATAAGTCTGTACAATGTGACAATACTGTTGTTCAATGATCAGGACCCCCATGGACCCTCACAGAGCAGGTACTATTTGGGTGGTGGATCATTCTCAGTACTGCAGTAACACTGATGTGGTGGTGGTGTGTTAGTGTGTGTTGTGCTGGTCTGAGTGGATCAGACACAGCAGTGCTGCTGGAGTTTTTAAACCCTGTGTCCACTCACTGTCCACTTTATTAGACACTCCTACCTTGTTAGTCCACCTTGTAGATGTAAAGTCAGAGACGATAGCTCATCTGCTGCTGCACAGTTTGTTTTTAAACACCTGAGTGTCACTGCTGGACTGAGAATAGTCCACTGACCAAATTATCCAGCCAACAGCATCCTGAGAGCAGTGACCACTGATGATGGACTAGAGGATGATCAACACAAACTGTGCAGCAACACACACTAACATACCACCACCACGTCAGTGTTACTGCAGTGCTGAGAATGGTCCACCACCCAAATAATACCTGCTCTGTGAGGGTCCATGGGGGTCCTGACCATTGAAGAACAAAGTGAAAGGGGGCAACAAAGTATGCAGAGAAACAGATGGACTACAGTCTGTAATTGTAGAACTAAAGTGCAATTCTATGGTAAGTGGAGCTGATAAAATGGACAATGAGCGTAGAAACAAGGAGGTTAATGAAGTGGCCAGTTGGTGTATATCCATTTAAACAATTTTCCAAGTACCTGTGCTCACGGTTATTATAGGTAATTATGTAATTTGTGAACTATTCACTACATGGTGTAACCAACATGAAATGTTTCTCCACTGGTCAAGCCATCTCCTAGTGTTTATGGTAATAATAGTCCTTCAAGTAATCTGAACATTGTAGAATACATTTAAATGTCTGTAAGCAAAGGACCTCACAATGTACAAAATCTGCAAAAGCTGTTTACTTTGGGGTGGGAATGTTGTATGTCAAGCCAGCTACAACTTGGGATTTTAACATTTGCCTGCTGAAAAAAATCTACGACAGCAAACACACACAAAATCCTGCAGGTGTGGGTTTGTGTGCAGGTTTCACGAACAGAACAGTTCGTTAGAATAGTTCTTATTTCAGTGCTACAGTATTTAAATTTGTGCTATAATACTTGCAACTTTCCTAACACCAGTGCTACATACTCAAAAAGCTACATCTGCCTGAAGAGCCTTTCAATTGAAGGAGTACTTAGGTGACCTTTATCTACTGCACCTGAAGTGTATAACTGATTACCACAGGCCATAATTTCAATGCATTACACCAGTTAAGAAAACTCAATGACTCAACACTCAATATAATTATATAATTATAGTATTATTATAATAATCCTATAATTTAAGAAAATGAGCAGTTGCTTCAGCAATGAGTTCCTGTCTTTTCGCTACATTCTTTCAAAAAAAGGTGCCAAAAAAGTTTTTTAAGCAATGTCGTAGAAGAACCTATTTTAATTCCCTAAAAACTTGAAGATTTGTAAACTTGAAGAACCTCTGATAAGAGTAAGGAATCCTCACATAATATAAAGGTTCTATACCTACCTTAAGGGCTCTTCTTAGAACCTTCACATTATTTTTTTGTGAAGAACCATCCACTGAAGAACCATCAACTCCAGTGCAGGTGCTCTCCTAAAAATAAAGGCTCCTAAATGGTTCTATGGTCTATAGAAAAAATACTATACTTGGACCTTGTTGCATAAAACTGACACACTCATGGCATAAACATGTCATATGCTGTTATAAGCTGTAATGACAGATTTTGTTCAGCAATATAACAGCGTCAAGTTATCCTCATGTCTGATGTTTTGATGTCATGACAGCTTATGTCACATGCAAATTTTCTCTGTTTAATCATGACATCAAACACCTGTCATTAGAAATAAGTAACATAACACTGTCATATTACTGAACAAAAATCAACTCATGACAGCGTATGATGTCAGCCGTGAGATGTTTATAGCATGGTTATGTCACTGTTATACAGCAGGATTCAAGTAATTGGAATAAAAGTATTACATTATGAGTAAAAAGGTTCTTCATGCTCATTCAACTTATTTTCTAATCACTGAAAGGGCCTTTAGGGAACCCAAAGTGGTTCTTTTATAGCACTGCACCAACAAACCCCTTTTTAGCACCATTATTTGTAAGAGTGAGGGTCTATTCATGGTCCGTCATGTGCATTTTCAGGCTGATTCTTTTTCAGTCAGTTCCAGCAAGTCTGTATATGTGCGTGTCATTGTGCCGCTGGGTTAGCGCTCTGTGCTGCTGAGCAGTTATTAGATTGTCTGTGTCATCCCAGCATTAGGGAGATTGAGTGTGTAAGTGTGTGTGCGAGTGCAGAATGTGTTTAGTAGCAGGGCGCGCAGAGTTGTGCTCTATTTCCTGATTTGTGGATTATTTTTAACTTTTTTTTTCACTCTGCTTTTCTTCAACTAGTCTTAGTCTAATGGGTACAATGGGGAAAAAAGACTACAAGGCTAAGGCTGAATGAATCCAATTTCATGGCTGTATTTAGGACATGCCCTCTTTTAGATGCACGCCTGCCTCATGTTCCCTCACAAAGTTTCTCTAATGGAGAACACGGGTAACTAATGATTTGGCAGCGTCACGTAATGACTGCAACTTGCGTGTGTGTGTTAACAGATTGTAATGGGTTATCTGTATCTGCATCTGTGCACGTGAGATTAAATGGCTTTTCACACAGCAGAAAACAATCATTCATTTTCAGTGAGAAGCCAAAGCAGCACAGCAGAGCGGCAGGTGATGTGACAAGCAAGCACAACCCAGAGAAACCACGGAACCACTGTCTCCATGATGAGAACACGTCCACCGTCCCCGAGGTCAAAAGTTTTCAGCTTTTGTGGTAACAGCATAAGAATCGCGCTGGCATCAGTGGTTGCATATTAAGTGTCTCTTATAAGCGTGTACTTACATGTTAATAATGCATGCAACAACAACATCACTACTGACTTTGTATATCGAAATATAGACACGTTTATTATCACCCATTTTTGATGTTTTTCTCAATTCCCAATTTCGTGTTCAAAAAAGTGGAGCCACTATGGTCACCATGGTTACCAATCCAACATTTTTCTCTCCAATCCTGATTCCTGAATCATTAAAATGTGTACTTCATATAACACACAGTTCAAATTCATTCCATTCTAAAACATTACATATCTATTTTACGAATTTTTAAAAATTGAGGATTTTTAAAATGAAGTTTGTCTCTTGTGGGCGTGTTTAGTGCTGTTCTTGTTGCATGTGGGCATGTACACTGTCCAGCTTCTGATAAAAACTGTAAAAATATCTACTATATGGACTATTCTACTGAATTCATCCAAACTGCAGTTGCGCAGTAAACAAAACAGCTTAAAAAACAATGAAGTATTCAGGTCTTAGATATTTACAATGATTATGTTATGATTTTATTTAATCCTAGGCATTAACTGAGATAAATATATACAAAATCATCATTTATATGTCAGTCCCAAACCTCTAAATTCACACTTGTAAAGAAAATACTTCAATTTTGTGTTTTTTTTTAGAGTATAGTGTCATTGAAAGATTTAGATTTGGAAAAAAAAAAATCACTACCAAAACACTTTTAGTTCACAGGCAGAGCCTTATTTTAGCCCCACCCCTATATTTTAGAGCAGGAAGTGACTGCATCACTGTCCCTCCTGGCCACATGGTAAGCAGTTAGATCCCATTGTTTTGAAGTAAATGCGTCCCAAAGTCTAAAAATCTGTGTGTAACATTAGAAATTGTCACTACCGAGACATACTGTATTCTGCAACTGAGTGTTTCAGCTGTGTTTGCTAGTCATGTGCTGGTTAGTGTTTTTGAATTCTGCTCAAAATAAGCTAAAATTGTACCGAAACAGCCAATACCAAAACATTTGGTGAAATTTTGGAAGCTTATTATTGTATTGGTAGGGAATATATTTGAATATTCGTCATTTGTGTTAATGATATGAACATAATTAAGGTATAGGGTCACTCAAGTCAGTTAAACGTGTGTTTTGAACTTTAAACCAATTTGGTAGAATGATCCATATGTGTATCACTGTTTTGTTTAAAACATAAACTGAAGGTTTCTCCTCTGTTTTTTTGTGTGGTACTTTTGGAAATAGGAACAAAGTGCCACAAAGAAAAAAGAATCTAGTAGAGCATCTTATTAACGTTTATGTTTTATACAAAACAGCAATAAAAAGAATAAGAAGCTAGACGCCTACACGCAACAAGAGCAGCCTCATACATGCCAACAGGAGACAAACTTGAGGCAGCATTAGTGACTTGCCACCTCCTAAACTGAATGTATGGTGAGGGTTAATAGTGGTTTGAATGGAGTTGTCTATACCTCTGCATGGGTGTATGTTTGTGTGTATGTAGTGTATTAGTGGCTTGATTTAGACTGTTTGTGAGTCAGTGAGTGATGGCTGGCCTGCGTGCTCAGCAGCTGTCACCTTCTCCATGAGCTGGCGGAGCTGTCTGCTGCGAGGGTCTCGGTTACACATGTTCTGGGCTGGAGCCACCACCGTGCAGATACACTTCCCATCTGCATCCTGCGCCGAGCTGTAGATTTGCCAACCCTCCTCCGGGCTCGGGTACAGGGCCTGAAGGGAGGGGTGAGAAAGAGAGGAAGAGAGAATGAAAGAGATGTAAAGATTATGCTGATATTATAGCTCTATTTCTGTGTTTTTCTCAGATTTGATGGTCCTGCATTGACTTGCACCAAGTGATCCATATCTGCCATTAGTGGAAATGCACCTCTGCCTTAAAGGACCTGCATGCACTCATTTTATCAAGTTATTTGCTGCTGATGCACACTTGAAAGGTCACAGTGTTAGGATTAAGTGGGTGTAGGTTTTTATTGTCGTGTATTCAAGCTAACGTTAGCATGGTGGCAAATTTGTCATTGTTTTATCGTTTCTAGCTTACACTCTGAGCAAAAAGGGTTCTATATAGTACCATAAAAGGGTTATTGGGCTTTTAACAATATTGGAACCCCTTTTGGTCCTATATAGAACCATCTACAGCACATTCTCCACCATAATGCAAAAAGTTTATCAGCGAAAAATCAAATAAAAACTTTTACACATGATAAAACTCTCTCAACCAGATAAAATGACTGCAGGATGAGCAAATTTCGATTTCTCAATTTGTAAATTTTCATTCTGTCTGAATTGGGTTTGGTAGTGTTTCATTTCTAAAAACATGTATCAGTAAATAATTGTTAATAACTCAGGTATTTTGACAAAAACCTCGTTTCTCATATACTTGAACAGTATTTTTGCTGACGTGTTCAAGCGTGTCCATCTTCAGCAAAAAGGGATCTATATAGTACCTAAAAAGGCTTCTTTGGCTTGTAACAATAATGGAACCCTTTTTGGTGCTATATAGAGCCCTTTTCAAAAAGATTTCTATGTAGAACCATCTACAGCACATTCTCCATCAATCTGAGAAACCCTTTCACGATGCAAAGAATCCTTTAATCATGCAAAGTGTTCTTGGAGTGTTCATGTTCCTATATAGAACCATTTTCTTTACTAAAGTACACTTGAAGAACCATCTTTTTCGACAGAGCTATGAAGAGGTCTTGGAGTCAAGCCCAAAAAGAATCAGTTCCTTAATTCCAGGCATTCGGGAATCGAGAGTTGACTCCAAAGCTATGAACTCAATTTCACAATTGTGGAATTTGAGAATCGTGAAGTTTGCCTGTGTGCATATGGAGTACAAGATGTTCTGCTGTCACTGTTCTAGACAATCTATATGAAAAAAGGCATCCTTTCACAACTTCATGTGGTTTTTCAGTAATTTTCAGCCTCAGACACTCAGCACAGAGAATGACTGTCTGATGTAAACCGCACACAAAAATCACCACAGCTCTCAGAATCTAGACTCTCATGGGGATTTTCAACAGGCTTTGCTCTGTGCACTAGTTAATGGGCAAAAAACAATTCTAAGTCTTTCAATAAGCCTTTCAGAGCTTAGTCATAGGCCTAGTCACTGAACCAGGAGTATTCATGATGTCCCATTTGATCACTCCCATTTTGAAAGAACATCATTTAGGATAGATTTTAAAGTTCAAGTTTTTAAGGCTCTAAATGACCTTAAAGCACCGCTTACATCACAGAAGGTCTGTTTATGTTCCAGCAAATGATCTTAGATCTGCAGATACTGACCTTCTGCAAACACCTTCTGTAAAATACAGAAAACACGGAAAGGCCTTGTTCAGTTATTCTGCTTCTAAATTGTGGAACTCAATTCCACCTTTTATTAGACAGTCAAGCTCAGTGCTCACTTTTAATAAGCATCTAAATACTAATCTAAAAAATCTCTTTAACTGAGCATTTAATTAAAATCTAGTCTGCTAGTCTCTTAGTATTTATCTTTTAATTTGATCTGTGTCATTTTCTTATATGATTCTAAATGAATACTTATAATTTCATCTATTACTATTAAGCTTATTATCACCTGTCTGTAAAGCACTTTGAGCTGCCATCAGCATTAAAAGTGTTATAGAAATAAAAATGATTATTAGAATTATTAGTACTGAATTGTGTTTGAGCTAGTAAATGAGATATCCTCTTGCATTTGTCCACAGCGCCAACTAGCAGATTTATTAGTTGACTAGCTGATTAGTCTATGCAACCTTTATGTCAAATTTAATTAATATAATACGCTTTATTTTTGCCAGATGTCCTTCTCCATGTCTTGGTTTTTGGAATCGACTCGTGGGATCAATTCTCATCACTTGGAATCGGAATCGGAATCTGCTCCAACATTTCTGGAATCAAACAGAACCCGTTTGTAGGTGGATGCACAAACGCATGGGCACGTTTCCAACGGAAGACCTCATGTAAAAGTGGCTCAAATCTCTCAAATGTGATTTAATCCAACCTGACGGCAAAAAATCAGGTTTGTGCCAACCCTGCCTCTAATACGAAGAAAGCTGATAACAATGAAGTTAGGATAGGAGCTGCTGTCAAGAAGCATGGGTTCTAATCGGCTCGGACTCGGCAGGAAAATGGAGATGTTTGGAATCAATGGAGCTGCTGTTTGCACTCGGGGGGACGGTCAGGATGGATGCCTCTCATATTAATCCTATTAGAAACAGCGTGCACGTAGGCCTACGCAGGAAAATGCACCCACACTCAGTTTAATGTATACATACACATAACAGAGGAAGACAAGGGAAATAAAAGTGAGATTGAAAGGAGCCATTTGAGGAATGACATCAGAGATGGATTGCATACAAGGAGAACGTAAAAACGCATCCGTGCTCGTCCCTGCTCTCTTCTCAGCCCCTATTTCTTTCTCTCCCTCACACTCGCTCCCCAGATCAGATTAAAATGTCTTAGGGGACAGGAGGACTATGTGATAGGAGTGTAAAGTAGCTACCACCCTGTGTGCTAGCGAAGCTTTCTGTCACTTCCTGTCACTGCTGCCAATCCCTCTCTACCTCCTTTTGTGTCCTCCCTCCTTCTCCATCTCCACCTCTCTGCTTCTCCAGCCTGATGGTTTAAAATCTGCTTCTTTCACATTTTCAGAACAGTGATACAGATAATATTAACAATATTAACAATATAAAATAATATTCACTTACACAGTACGTCCAATATCTTCTAATGAATTTAGCAACTCCAAGGTGCATACGTTGCACTGACACAGGTGTTCCCACGGGTTATTTCTCCTTTGAAAAGCATTGTAGATGGAATGAGGCATCACAAATGAGCCTAAAGTCACCATGTCCAATGGCAACGGGATATAAAGGTGGAGCAGTGGAACTGTGTTCTCTGTGGAGATGGCAAAGTCTGTTCATCAGACTGACGGTTTTTCTGTGATGGAAGGCTTGTTATTTGAAGCCATATCTGGCAGAGAACGGCACTGCAGTAAAATAACAGTAAGTCAAATAAAGACTGTAGCAAAACTCACAAGTCTCAAACAATGGGTTTCATGCTTTTGCCACATTAAGGTTGGCATTCCTAAGGTTGGAGTCTCCACCACAGAAATCCTTTGACTTCTGTTTTAATTCCGTTTTTCAAAAAAGAATTCAATTTTATGGAATGACCTTTGATGGTTATGTTGCTTGATGGAAGAATTCTTCAGTGCAATTATTAATAATGGCAAATTACACCGATCAGGCACAACGTTATGACCACCTCCTTGTTTCTACGCTCATTGTCCATTTTATCAGCTCCACTTACTATATAGGTGCACTTTGTAGTTCTACAGTTACAGACTGTAGTCCATCTGTTTCTCTGCATACTTTATTAGCCCCCTTTAACCCTGTTCTTCAGTGGTCAGGACCCCCATGGACCCTCACTGTGCAGGTACTATTTGGGTGGTGGATCATTCTCAGCACTGCAGTAACACTGATGTGGTGGTGGTGTGTTAGTGTGTGTTGTGCTGGTCTGAGTGGATCAGACAAAGCAGTGCTGCTGGAGTTCAGTGTCACTGCTGGACTGAGAATAGTCCACCAACCAAAAATATCCAGTCAACAGCGTCCTGTGGGCAGCGTCCTGTGAGCACTGATGAAGGACTAGAGGATGACCAACACAAACTGTGCAGTAGCAGATGAGCTATCGTCTCTGACTTTACATCTACAAGGTGGACTGACAAGGTAGGAGTGTCTAATAGAGTGGACAGTGAGTGGACACAGGGTTTAAAAACTCCAGCAGCACTGCTGTGTCTGATCCACTCGTATAACATTTTTTTTTTTCAAATTGTTTGCATTGTTTAGTCATTGAGATGTAAACAAAGTAATTCAGAGTGGTTTGCTATGAAGTGACTCATTGTAGAGAAGCTTACCGGCAAACCTACATGTATCTTCTGAGTTTTTATATGTAGTGTTAATAATGCTAAAAATTCTGGAGCCCTGCTGGTGACATTCTGTATAAATAAAAATAATGCGTAACACCATATTAATGCGTGGGAATGAGATCCTATGAGATCATAGAGGTTAATCTAACAAATGTTTTCTTTCAGGGACTATTTAACCTTAGAACACCCTGCATGTATCACCATCAAAGACTTTAACCTTTTAGCTGTCGCCCCATTTTTGCTATGTTCCCACATACTTTGGGCTACAGTCAAAATCTTGGTCTCATCTGAAATGTAACACTCTCATTTTTTTTTTTCCGACAGTAAGAATTATTGTATGGATTCCTGACAGTGATAGAGTATCAGCCTCAATTGAGTAACAGAGGCTAGAATGGAGGAGTTTATTTATTTATTTTGTCTGACTCACAGATCTCTAAACTGATCTCTGACTCTTGCCATGTTATCAAGACCAAATGGTTTGGATTATGACGTCTGTTGATAGCAGCAAGGCTTTAGAGGTAAGGACCCACAGATTTGCTAGCGTTTGCTCATTTGATGCTTATGTTGTAACGAGTCCAACTGAATTGCTGTGAATAACAGATAATAAAATGGTGGGAATGCTGAGATTTCAAGCTTTCAGTAGATTGCATCACTGCACTGTTGGACGACTTGATGCATAAAAATGGCGTACAAAAAACGGAAGTGAACCCTCTGACAGACTGTATCAGTGCAGTGATTTAGAAAAGGTTTCAGGCCTAAACTTCAGCTCAAAACAGTCGCAAACAAATGT